GGGGCCCCTATGTAAAGATGAGAAGGAGAGGAGGAGTCAGGGGGGGACAGAGCCTTGGGGGGCCCCTATGTAAAGATGAGAAGGAGAGGAGGAGTCAGGGGAGGACAGAGCCTTGGGGGGCCCCTATGGAAAGATGAAGAGGAGAGGAGGAGTCAGGGGAGGACAGAGCCTTGGTGCCCCTATGTAAAGATGAGGAGGAGAGGAGGAGTCAGGGGAGGACAGAGCCTTGGGGCCCCTATGTAAAGATGAGGAGGAGAGGAGGAGTCAGGGGAGGACAGAGCCTTGGGCCCCTATGTAAAGATGAGGAGGAGTCAGGGGAGGACAGAGCCTTGGGGCCCCTATGTAAAGATGAGGAGGAGGGAGACTTGTAGGGATACTGAAGCAATGGTTAGATACATCCGAGGAGAACCAACAAACAGCCTGGAGGAAACTTCATACCCCCAGCACAGAGTCCTCGTGGGAGGGACTATCCTCAGTGACTCCGCCTTTATACATAGAATGACAATATTTTTCCTGACTGTGGGTTGGGGCAATCATTCAGAGCGTCTGATTGGTGGAGAGATGGCGTCTGATTGGACGTTGTGTTTTGTGTTGCAGGCGTCTGCGCTGTACCCGGAACCTCATCCACTGCAACCTGTTTGTGTCCTTCATCCTGCGCGCTGTGTCTCTGCTGTCCCGCGACGCTCTGCTCCTCCACCAACACAACATGATTCGGGGCAAGGAGGACATGACCGCCCTGCTGAGAGAGAAGGTGAGACCACCACGGGGCCAAATCTCCCCCTTACCTGTACAGGGGAAGAGGTCCCATCAGGCTCCTCCCCTTACCTGTATAGGGGAAGAGGTCCCATCAGGCTCCTCCCCCTACCTGTACAGGGGAAGAGGTCCCATCAGGCTCCTCCCCTTACCTGTATAGGGGAAGAGGTCCCATCAGGCTCCTCCCCCTACCTGTACAGGGGAAGAGGTCCCATCAGGCTCCTCCCCCTACCTGTATAGGGGAAGAGGTCCCATCAGGCTCCTCCCATTACCTGTATAGGGGAAGAGGTCCCATCAGGCTCCTCCCCCTACCTGTATAGGGGAAGAGGTCCCATCAGGCTCCTCCCCCTACCTGTATAGGGGAAGAGGTCCCATCAGGCTCCTCCCCTTACCTGTATAGGGGAAGAGGTCCCATCAGGCTCCTCCCCTTACCTGTATAGGGGAAGAGGACCCGTCAGGCTCCACCCTTCACCTGTATAGGGGAAGAGGTCCCGTCAGGCTCCACCCCTCACCTGTATAGGGGAAGAGGACCCGTCAGGCTCCACCCTTCACCTGTATAGGGGAAGAGGTCCCGTCAGGCTCCACCCCTCACCTGTATAGGGGAAGAGGTCCCGTCAGGCTCCACCCCTCACCTGTATAGGGGAAGAGGTCCCGTCAGGCTCCACCCCTCACCTGTCCTGTCTCTGCAGACTCTGATTGGCTGTCGTGTTGCCTGTATAGGGGAGGAGGGCGCCGCA